AATACAGATGTGAACTAAATAAAGGGTAGCCAACGTGGGTGAGGCCCTGCTAGTCGAAATAAAAAAAAAAAAAAAAAAAAAAAAAAATTAACAGGTGCTTTGTTATAAAAGAATTATTTTATTGTTTTATTTATTAATTATATTATATTAGGAGTAAAAAAAAATTAATACCGAATAAATTAAAAATATAAATTTTATATCATAACACGTGATTATATATACTTTAAAAATCTGTAAAAAAAATAATTATTACCACTAATGTCTAGCCTTTTTGATGTTCCCGGATGGAAACTCGGAACCGTTCTTTCTCAAGAATATGAAGGAACCAAAAAGAATAAAAAACGCAATTCCGATTATGAAATTCAACAAGAATTGATTAATAAAAAGTCGAAATTAAATCACGTACAAAAAGGTAAAATACAAAAGGATGAATCCTCAAAAGTGAAAAGTACAAACAAAAGAAAGACAAAAAAGAAACCTCTTATCGACGATCAGACATCAACAACCAGTACATTTCCTTCTCTTGCCACACAGTCTGAAAAAAAATTATATAAAATAGTGAGTATATCTTGATCTCAATCAATTTGCCATTGGATAATTTCAATAAAAGTTAAATGTTTGTTTAGCACGAGAAAAATCAATCTATAGATGGCAAAGATAATAAAATCAAAGTTAATATAAGTGCAAAGGTATCCCAATATATTTGAGTGAAATAAAGTAATAGGATATATTTTTACTCATAAATGCCTTTTTTTTTGTGTGTAAAGCAAAAACCAAGCGAAAAAAAATTAACCCACCGCCAAAAATTAAAAAAAAATATTTCAGAAGGAAGGTTTCGTTGGATCAATGAACAACTTTATGCTTCCACTAGTTCTTCGGCTTTCAAATTATTCCATGAAAACTCACAAATGTTTGAAGAGGTATTTTTTATTTAGTCTTTAATATTCTATTTAATATTCTATTTAATTAATGGTTCTGTTTTATTGGCAAACAAATAATAGTA